GTCCCCAAGAAGGGGTGTCCCTGCAGCGCTGCTGCTGGTCCATGACAGCACCATGGGTGCCATGGCCATATGTCCTCCAGGGACTCATGTCCCTAGGATGTGGTGTCCCCACAGCTCTGCCCACCAGTTTCCCAGCTTTGTGGGTGCCACACGTCCTCCAGGCTCAACCTGCCCCATCCCAACCAGCACATCTCCAGCCACCTCTCCCCTGCCTTCTCCTCCCTGAGACGGACCCTGCTCCGGGGCAGGCTGAGCTCATCTTTTAATTGATGATGTCTGCCCAAAGGTGGCAATTTGGAGCCCTGGCAGGCTGGACCACAGGGCGTTTCTTTCCTGCTGTGCTGCTCTCTCATTATCTCGCTATATAAAGCCCCGCCGGCGGCAGGAGGGCTGGGTTTCCGGACTGTGGTCTTCCTCACTGCTATGCTGCTGGAGCAGATTTCCAACCCCTGGTTTTGCCAAGTGGACATGTCCCACCGGGAGCAGAAAAATAACATGATGATATTAGTAATAACACCCAAAGTCATGCTCGATACAACGAGGATCACCCTTGAGCAGCTTTGCCCTCCTGGAGCTGAGGCACTGGCACCGGAAAAAGCTTTGTGTGGCTCAGCACGGCCAGACCACCACGTCGGGGTATTGTCCTGCTGAGGAAATGGGTCATTTCCCGGAGAATTTCCAGCCCAGCTGCGTTTCCGATGCGGCGGTGAGGAAGGGTGCAGGCGTGCTGGGGCCTCGACAGACACCCTCAGCCTAATCCGAAGGGGATAAATAAAAGCTGAGTGCGGGGAGGGACAAGGGATGGGGGAGAAATCAGGATGATTAAGCAAGAAAAGAGGTGCAGAATAGTTTTTCTTGGCAGAAAAGCACTGGGAAACACTGGAGGCTTTATCCAGCCTTCCCTTGCTGGATGACCGCAAGCCAAATTCCACGGATTGGGGTGGGATTTTAGCACATGAGATGATACACAGATCTGCACCCCTGCCTGTGCTTCGGTTTGGGACTAGATCTCAAGAAATGAAACCCCCTTGCTGTCTCCATGCAGCCTCCATGGCTCGGAGCGAACCCACTTTGGTATAAAAAGGCAGATATTTGGGGGTGAAAATGGGTTTATAGGGTAAAAAGCAGCTGCTCATCCCCAAACCTGCCCATCTACAGGAGAGGGGTGAAAAGCCAGCGGCTACTGGGGCTCTGCCAACAAGTCGCAAGGCAGCCATGCCCCTGATCCAATGCTTCCAGGATTTGGCCTTGCACCAGACCTCTGGCCAATAACCATAAAATCATGGAATGGGTTGGGTTGGAAGAGACCTTTCAAGGTCATCTTGTCCAATCCCCCTTCCATAAGCAGGGACATCTTCAACCAGATCAGAGCCCCGTCCAACTTGACCTTGAACATGTCTAGGGATGGGGCATCTACCACCGCTCTGGGCAACCTGGGCCAGTGTTTCACCACCCTCAGCATCAAAAATTTCTTCCTTAGGTCTAGTTGGAATCTCCCCTCTTTTCCTTTAAAACCATCACCCCTTGTCCTGTCGCTCCAGGCCCTGCTAAAAAGTCTGTCCCTGTCTTTCTTAGAAGCCTCCTTTAAGCATGGCAAGGCCACACTCAGGTCTCCTCAGAGCCTTCTTCTCTCCAGGCTGAACCACCCCAACCCTCTCAGCCTATCTCCATAGCAGAGCTGTCCCAGCCCTTGGACCATTTCCATGGCCTCCTCTGGCCCTGCTCCAACAGGTCCCTGTCTGTCCTGGGCTGGGGACCCCCGAGCTGGATGCAGGGCTCCAGGGGGGTCTCAGGCCAGGGGAGCAGAGGGGCAGAATCCCCTCCCTCACCCCACTGGCCCCGCTGCTGGGGCTGCAGCCCAGGAGATGCTTGGCTTTCTGGGCTGCCGGTGCACATTGCTGGCTCATGGCCAGCTTTTCCCCCACCAGTACCCCCCAGTCCCTCTCCGTGGGGCAAGCAGCCCAGCCCCACAAAAAGCCGAGGGAAGAGGGAGCGGCGTGGGGCTGCACAATGCACCGCGGCCGGCGGCTTCCTGGAAACCACATCTGCAGCGGATTTGCAGCGATCATGTCAGAACTATGTCTCCAAACTCCTCCCTGTATTGTCTCAGGGGTCCCGAGCGATTAAAACACTCTGGAAGTCGGTTCCAGCTGCGAAAATCCCTTTTCTCTTCTAACGCAAAGTGAGCAGCGCGGTGCAAAGAAGGTTTTAAATATAGGGGTGGTGGGAAGATGATGTAGGACCAGGGTCTGCGTTTGGGGATGCTGAGAGCCTGGGAGTTTTCTTAATGCATTAGGAGAAAAGCAAAGCGAAGCGGTTGGAGGGAACGGTTGTGCTGGGAAATCCCGCTGGCCCGGGCAGAGCTGCGGTGGCATGAGCCATGTTCCCTCACGTTTTGCCTCGGTCACCCTTCCTTGCAGGACATGTGGCAGCCCAGACCCTCTTGTACAGGGGGCACTGGGCAACCGCATCCCCCAGGGCTCCCCATGGTGTTGTGAAGCCAATTTAAAACCTGAAATAAAAAGTTTTCCTCATGGTCTGGTGGCGTTAAACCCCAGCTGGACCTTTTCCCCTCCCCAAACAGTCCTATTTCTAATTATTTGGCGTTAGCAAGGCTGGAGGTGTGATTGCAATTAGTTGTCGTCGTGGCAAACCATCCCTCTGAAATGCTCTTGGGTGCCTTCACCTCTATTTCTTTTAATTTCTTGTAAAGATCCCTTTTGGGCTGTTTTCCACTAGATTTCCTCCTTGCACCGGGGACTGGGGTCTGCCGAGGGTGATGAGCTGGAAACCCTCCAGGACGAGGTTAATTTTGGAGGCGATGCTACCGGCGACCCCATCGGCGTGGACACACGTCCATCGGCTGCTTAACGAAGCGTGTAATTAGCCTGCATGGTGCAGGGCGTCTCGGGGCGAGCCAGGATCCGTGTCCTGGCCCTGCCAGTCCATAACAGAGACATCAGCGCTGTCGGTTTTCCCCGCTAATCCCTCTGTAAGCGGGGTGCCTGGTTGAAGGGAGGGATTTAAAATGGCCCGGGCAGGCGTGAGGTTGGGTGTGGGGTGGAAGCAAGACCCCGGGGATGAATAGGAGATCCTGGCGCTTCCATAAAATCACGGTGAGTGGGAGGACACGCGAGCACGGAGCTGGACCGAGGGGTGAAGATGTTCCAGCCCAGCACCAAGACTGGGTGATCCCTAACAAGGGATTGCTCCCACCCAAGGCTGGGGGAAGTGGGTGGTGGGGTTGGATGGTAGGACTGTATCATTTCCAGAGGGATTTTCCTTTTTTTCCCCCCCTTCTGAAAGACCTTGGAGGATGCCCACTCATTCCCATGGCGGGGGGGTTTGGGCCGTCGCATGGAAGAAGCCAGATCCCAAGGCGCTGGTAGGCAAATTGAGGCAGGGCATCAGGAGTGACCCAAGACCCCAACCCCGTGGTGCATGGTGCTCCCAAATGAAAACAAGGAGCCGGAAACGCATCATTTCCATGAGCGGAGAATGAGCTCTTCCTTTCAAGGACTAAAACCACTTCTCCAAAAATGGGTGCCCTTCCTCCCCTCACTCATCCCTCCTCCTCCCCCAAATCTGCTCCCTCCAAGAGCTGGTGGTGAGTTTGCCTCCTGCACCCAGCAGGTCCGGACAAGCACAGATCCTGCTTGTGCCGATGCTCATCTCCGGGTGCCACCCTTCTTCCCAGCGCAAAGCCTCTCCATGGCTGGCAGCCTGGCTCAGGGTTGGCCACTCCGAGCAGAAGCTGAACCCTCCCAGGGATTTTGCTCCGTCTCGTGAAAAATTAGCAGTGGGTGGTGATTTTTGGGTGGGTGCTCGGTGATTTTTAATGACACCCTCTGAGCTCCACCAGGGAAAAGGTACCTGTCATCTCCCAAACCTCCAGGGTGGGCTTTGCCATCGTCCAAGTGAGATGATACGCCCAAACTGGGGTCCTCCTCGCATGGGGATGTGGGATGAGGCGATGGTATAGCTCCATGTCACCCCAAACCCGTGTTTTTGTCCATTGGCTCTTTTTAGCCTCTTTTAAGAGGAGTTGCAAGCCTTGAGGGAACGAGCAACCAGGTAACAAGCACCAAGGCATGGAGCCCCACTGATGCCTGGCAGTGCAACTGCCCCAACAGCCTACTAGCCACCAGTGAATCCACAAGTAAGGGTGATTTTTTATGGATATTCAAGTGGGAGCATCTCCTGTGCCGGACACCAGTGCCACCAGTCCAAACTTTGCATTGGTGTCATTAATGCATGTGGAGCAGAGCCCAACTGGCCAAGTCCATGGCCCAGCTGGCCACCACCATGCTCCACCCCATGATGCTGCCTGTCCCGGCAGCCTGAGCACCATATTTTTGGGGTTAAAAGCACTGTGAGTGACGAGGTGGTGGCCAGCTCCTTCCCCTCCTTTCCGGGGAGGGTGTAAAACCCTGGGAATGAAACAGCAGCAGCTTGAGCCCCACAGCAACTTATGGACCCCAAGAGCTGGGATGGAGGAGGTGAGGGTTGCTCAGCCCAGCGGCTCCTGCATTTATATCTCTGGGCATCCTACCATGGCCAGGCACCTCACCATGGCCGGCTGTCCCACCGTGGTAGGCTATCCCACCATGGCTGGGCACCCCACTGCGTCCAGGCACCCCACCGTGGACACGGACCCCACCGTGGTGCGGCACTCAAATATGGCCAGGACCCCACTATGGCCAGGCTACTCATCATGGCTGGGCACCCCACTGTGGCCAGACACCTTGCCATGGCCAGGTACCCCACTGTAGTCAGGCATCCCACAATTTCCAGGCACCCCACCACAGCTGGGCACCCTACCATGACCAGGCACCCCACCATGGCCAGGCATCCCACCATGGCGGGCACCCCACCATGACTGGGCATCCCACTGTGGCCAGACACCTTACCATGGCCAGGCACCCCACTAGGTCTGGTCACCCCACTATGGCTGGGCACCCCACTGTAGTCAGGCACCCCACTATTTCTAGGCACCCCACCACAGCTGGGCACCCTACCATAACCAGGCACTCCACCATGGCCAGACATCCCACTGTAGAAGGCACCCCACCAAGGCTGGGCACCCCACTGTAGCTGGGCACTCCGCCATGGTCACTGCAGCCAGGCACCCCACTATGCCCAGGCACCCCACAGCCAGCCACCCCACCATAGTTGGACATCCCACCACGGTCAAGCACCTCACGGCCAGGCACCCCACCACAGATGGGCCACCCCACCACGGCCAAGCACCCCACAGCCAGGCACCCCACCACGGACGGGCACCCCACCGGCACATTCCCAGCCCACGGCACTGCTGCCACCGATACTCACTGTCCCCTTCCACCTTCTCGGGCGTCCGGCTCCAGATGATCTGCCGGGTCTCCAACTTCACCTGGAAGGTCCTTCGCTCTGGCCTCTGCGACTTCTTCTGATAGAACAAGGTGAGGACAGTGCCCATCTCCAGGCAGCGGAGGATCCTGCCCATGTCCCCTGCCTCCATCCTGCTGTCCTCCAGAAAGCCATTGACGCTGTTGAGCCTGGCCACAGACATCTTCACTGTGCGGCCATCGCCCGGCGGAGCCGCAGAGCCGGGGTTGTCTCATGCAGGAGAGGACGAACCAAATCGCCGAAATCTCCCCTGGGGATTTTCTCCGCTTGCCCCAGGCACGGGTTTCCTCTACGGCCGACGTCCCCTCTGCCGCACCACGGCCACGGCACAGAGCCGGACTCAGCGGTGGCGGGGAGGAAAAGGGTGGGCTGGAGGGACCGTGACCTTCTCGCCGAGGCTGAATCTGGCCCCGGCGTTGGCATCCAGCGGCGGTGGGAGAAGATGGGCAGCGTCGGCGGCGATGGCCTTGCGGTTGAGAGCCAGGGGGGAGAAAAACCATCCGGCCACCGCAGGATGGCGGGGGCACCGTTGCGGGCGATGAGGGTGGCGTGCGGGGGTGGGGGAAATCCAGCCAAAAAAAAAGCAAAGTCACCCCAAAACTGACGGTGCCTGCGTTGAGGCAGCGGATCCCCCCCCGGCCTCCGGGCCAAACGGGGCCGGGGTTGGGAGAGGGGTGCG